CTAAAGTAAATGTTTACATACAGGACAGAATTCAACATTTTCAATATTATTAAGGCAACAGGAAGACAAATGTTTTAAAATGCTACTAGTGTCACTTTGAGATTAATGTATATTCTTGGCATTAAATTTTTGTCTTGTTTAGAATACAATAACTGTCAAATATTATKGGCTTTTTCTGTTTTCAGAAATATTTGATTTGGGACATCTCAAACAACATATTCTACTCTTGAGATTGCTCATGTGTTGACAGSTTGGATTTGCTCTTGTTTACTTTCTGATTAGATCAAAATAAAAATATGTGCAGCTAGACCAGTTTTAATGACTCTGAAGATATGCCAAGGCTCTTCCTCTTGGTGTCTGCTTTCCCATAAACCTGTTTAGAATGTATGAGTTATGCTTCACAGTTAATTTATTTATTTTGCATCGGGTGAAAAWGGTAAGGTACCTGATAAATGTGTGCATTTCCCCACTGTTGTAAAAGGCTAAGGAATTTTTATCTAAAAACTCTTCTCCCCAAGCCCACTTTTTCTAGCAGCCACAGTTTTGCATATGGCTCAGTATGCCTTTTCCTTRTCCTTTACCTCACGTGTTCCATGGATTATATCSTCTGTGRTTGAATCCCTTCCCTTGYAGAGGTAATCCTTGCTTCCACGTCYGCTCTCATGCAGCTCAGATGTCTTGTGGTGTTTTCACAGAACTCTCAAAATTTCCTATACAKCCATAGCTTTCATTAGTGCTTTCCTGCTTTGTCATTTTCTGGGCTTCCAAATTCTGTTGGAGTGGTTTTACAGTTAATTAATGTTGTTCYATCTGTAATGGGACTGATCCCTTTTCTGGGTACTGAATAGTAGGTGTTGCTGCCTTTTTTTTTCTGATATAATGCATTCAGAAATGCTTAGCACACAGCTACAGGATTTTAATAGAAGAATAGGGAAGTCCGTTTTGTGAAGATGGGCAGTTTTATTTCCAATTACATTATCATGATGATGATCCTATTGCTGCATGCAGAAAGGCAATACATTTCAATGTCTGAAAAATGCCCTGAACCCAGCTTTCAAATGACTGTCTGGACGATTCTTTACCTTTATCAGGAAAGGAAGAATTTGTTTGTGTTTTCTAAGGAAATACTCTAAGTACTAAAAAAGTTCCTAAAAGGAAGTTTTTACCAGCAGAATTATTCACGTAAACGTGTGCTAAGTTTGGGTTTTTCAGAAAGAAGTGATGAAAGGATTCAGTTGCAGTTAAATATTCTCTGCTGTTTAAAGAGAGGACAATATTCTTTTACAAACATGAGATGAGTGCAGTCTGCGTGCTTCACGCTGTGTCTGCAGCATCAGCAGCCACTATCAGAGACTTACTGCAAGGACTTYAGCTTAAAATATCAGCCATTTCCAAATCACTGACCTTTGTTAGGAGTATCTGACTTAATTCTCAGTTCTCTGCAAACCTTGTATCAAATCCCAGTAGTTCAGTGCCTCTTACAGGTGGTCTGACACTTTGCACACTCAAGATGTCCTCCCCATCTTCAGAAAAGTGGTGGAAGCTCTGCAGTTTCTGTGTCAGGTCCATTTTGCCAGGCTGCCATCCCTGTTACATCCGATGGATGCTCGGTGGATTGAAGGTGTCTGAGGTCTGTTCTTTGAGCCATGTCTGTCTTCAGCTTGGTATCCTGGACATGGTTACCCATATTTTGAGCTTCAGACAAACATTTGGTATTCAGGAATCAACCAAATWAAAAAACAAAMAAAMMAAAAAAAAAACCRCAGCAAAAGCACCACAAATATTTKCCTGTGATGAACTTGTARCATTTCTTTGAKATGACTTTGTATTGACTTTCTAAGTGTGCTCTTTTAGAATTGCTGGGAGATATGAATAGGTCAGCGAGAGAGCAAGGCAGTTTACTTATGAGTTCTACAGGAAACTTCTGGATGTTGCTGTTTTTCCCATAGTCTGGTTTTTGGTGTCTTCTCAGCTTTTAAATTCTTCTCTCTTCTGCTCTCACAATGTAACATTACAAAGATTTATTGATTAGTCACAACTTCATCCCTTTTCACACACAGAGTTGTATAACTATCCTAATTAAACATGCGCATGGTAAAATTGCAAGCTAGAAAGAGCTGCCTGGGTTTGGATGATAGCAATTAAATGATTTATGTTTACAGGCATCAATATTTATCTTATGCCTRCCGTCTGTCCTAGCTTGTCGTCTGTGGTTCCATGTGTAGTTCATTGGCTYTCCTTAGCAATCCAGATTCTTTTCYCTGGACACTGTGTTCTTGGCTGAGGAGAATATTGCTTTTCGTAMGATTATGGAGTAAGACCATATTCTGAGTTTCACAAACACTCTTAGTCTTTCTGTCTTCACCTGAGGATTTTTTTCTGCTAAAGTTTCAGAAATACAAGGTTTCAAGGTGCTTAAAATAAATGAGTCACTGTCTCCTCCTGCCCCCARTTGTTCTCAAACAGGGAGTTCTTGCTAAAATTATTTAGGGTGATGCCCCTGACAAACCAAGTCCCAGTTTCCACTGAGCTTCAGTATGTTAAACAGACAAAATTTATTTTTCTTTTCTGCAGTTCTCCTTGGCTCTAGCAGGGTCAGAAGCAGCAGTAGCACTTTGGCTGTTCCCAGTTGAGTCATTTGGAATGCAAATTACTTTGCAGTGATGCCAGAGGTTCCCATTGTGCTGGGCTTTATATAAAACGCGTGACAGATTGTCAGCTTTGTCACATTCCCTGGGCAGCGGGGGATAGGTAGAGGCTTCAGCTTTGGATTCAGATAGAACTGGACTAGTATCAGAAGATCTTTGTCATCTTTGCTTTGCAGATAACTRTAAATCATGTTAGAATATTACATTGAGTGCTTCAGCCTGATACTTTGATACTRACATAATTCCTCAATGCAAACAAATTCCTACTGGGAAAGCTTAGCAGAATRTGTGCTCTGGGGAATACAATCCTCCTGTATCCTTCCCTGCTTTTCTTTGTCTGAACTAGATATGAAGAACAGAAGGGAAGTCTGGGGAAAATATCAAGTGGTATAAATTATCTGCTCTTTATTGATCTTGCACTATTTGAGCTGCAGGGATTTGGGGTTGCAGGAACACGTGCTGCATCTACATACAGGATCTTGTAGGAAAGGTGTGTCTTGTGCTTTAAAAATGTGCTGCAAATGCGAACAGGAACTGTCTTCCCAATTGGGCAACTAGGGATCTGAGTAAATTTCCATGAAAATAAAGGCAGTGATGGACTTTTATTCTGAGCTTTGCTGCCTATTAAATAACTTGGTTATTTTGCATGAAACCAAACTTGGTASTGAAGTGTCTCTTGAGATCTGGAGTAAAGTTGATCCTGTACGAATCTGTGCTAGAGATTAAATAAATTGTATTGCATTTTTGTTGCTATTCAAAGCTTTTAAATTACTGTGACACTGTTTCAAAAATATTCAGAAGGAAACGCTGACCTTTCTTTTCCTGTTTAGTCCCATGTTAACAGGACAAGGAAAAGTTGAAATTTCTTGAGGAATGCCATTTGAGGGCTGTGCGATGTTATTTCAATCATTGTGCAAATTTTCATTTCTGCGATTATCAGCTTTGATTATTTTGAGTAGTTCTGTCAACACAATCCACAACACCAACATTAGTGAACTTAATAGGAAAACTCATTATAGTGACTGTAAATGTTACTRTTTAGCATGATGAGTGGAAAGAGTAATGAGATAATATTTAAGGGTGTTGTACAACTCTAAAGTCCCCGTTTTGGAAAATTATGTAGTTGTCACCCTGAGTTATTGTGCTCAGGGTTTCAAAGACGCAGCTCTTTTGGCTCTTGAACATCTTTTTGCAGATACAGTAGCTTCTTAAAAATTAGGTTTTGATTAAAAGACTTTGAACAAATGCTTTATGTTAAAATAGGACCTCATGTTCTCTAATGTCACACTAGGTTCTSTGTAGCTTAAATCCACTCTAAATCCAGAATCTTGATATTGAAGTAGTTTCCCTTATACAGTTCCTCTCTGAGGGAATGTGAATTGGAGCAAGCAGATGGAACAGGCAGATGAACAGATTTTGCAAGCATGTTGAAAATAGGTCTTGAAAGGGTTTTTAGTATAGGAAGCAAATAAGTCTGGATGAATAAGAATGACACTTCACAAGAGGTTTTTTTCTTTTGGCTTTGGTTTTTCTGAAACTTTCCCTTCTTTGAGCTTAGAATTACCCTGTGTTCAAGGTCCTCTTTTTTTTTAAATGGGGTCTTTTGCTTTAAAACATCAGTTCTCTCTCTGCTATACAGGTGATTTTGTWCTTTTTCAGCATGGCTTATGGTTTTCTTATTGTCCTTGTACCAATAATTTTCCCTTTGGGACAGGAAATAATCTAGAGGCAAGACACTATGAAAACAGATGGGCTACACTTTGAAAATGGAGCTGATGAAGCTGACAGCCTCTTTGCAATCCTATCAAGCGTGTCTTTGTATGGGTGATAAAATCAGCAGTCAAACTTCTGCCAAGTTTTTTCATTTCTCTTTTACTTTGCAKCCACATGACCACACAGGGGAACTTGCATAACCCCCCAGCAACATCCGCAGCATTGCCTATGCTCAGGGTGCTCAAGCTGTATTCTCATATTCTCACTCATCTCCTAAATGTTCTTCTGACAGTTGCCTGTTTAGGTATCCACGGCTTCAGATCTGGAACAAATACACTTTTGAAAGCTAGCTCAGGCTGCACACAGTAATTACAAAGTGGGAAGTACTGTGTAACCAGAAGTAGARATCTATTACTATGTGTAGAGCTGCAGAGAGTTTGCCTGTTAATACACTAATTTGAAAATCTGGGTTTGAAGGACAAGGCCTGAGTAGAGTGCCCAGTAGCATGTTCCATGTGCCCGAGTTGTCTTAGATTARAACCTCTTGAGTTGTCAAATGGCTTTGCATTTGGAAAATCTTGTGAGCAGCATGCCTTGTTAATTTAAAATTCAAATGAAATATTTTTTCCCTTTTTATAGGAACTGGAGACATTGTTGCTGTCATGATTACAGAATCAAAGGTTAAGGAGATCCTGAATTACTTGGAAAAGAATATCTCTGTCCTGATGGCCATAGCAGTGGGGTCCCGTGTTCCCCCGAAGAACTTCAGTCGGGGCTCTCTAGTCTTTGTGTCAATATCATTCATTGTTTTGATGATCATTTCTTCAGCGTGGTTAATATTTTACTTCATCCAGAAGATMAGGTACACAAGTGCACGTGACAGGAATCAGGTAAGGGGTCTCCTTTTTTCTCTTAGGTTTTGGAGATAATATTCCTGAATGCAATAATCAATAGAAACCAAAAGTTTCTAAGGAATGCCAATCAAAGTGGTGTTCAGAACCTCTTTGTTCCAAGGCAGAGTGTGTTGCCAGACACGATTTTTATATAGCAAAGTGTTTTCATCCTGAGCAGCACTGGTAGATCCTATTACATGACAGGAAAGAATAGAACTGAAGCAAAATGCTTGMGTTTTCGCAAGTATAAATCCAAAAGTATGTTCTTGTTGGCTGAGTAACACATGCTGGGTGTGTGTTGGGAATGGGGAGGAAAGTTAAATTGTGAAGGAACTTTTGTAGTGTAGGGGAACACTGAGCAAATGTTACAGATCCCCTCCATGCTCTTCAGGATGCTTTCTTTAATATAAGGTAATTCAGAAATTGTATCCAAGTATTTCCAAACCATAATCTGTTATGAGTCTTAGGGTAAGAAAACTAAGGTGTGGAGCTGCTAACATAGTGGCCTGTGTTAACTTTCACCTTTACTTAAAATCACACTTGGTATAGAGTGCCTAATTCTCCTGGTCATATATTTTAACTAAAATTTTGTCCAATATGCCTTTCTTACATTCTTTTTCCACTTTTAATTTAAGAACTGAGTTATGTGTGCCCACACACAGAGTTATTGTCTAAATCAGGTTGTTAACTCAAACACGGATTAAACTTTGGAAGTAAATGTTTTACTAGTGTGGACTTAATGACCCTCCCTAGTGCTTTGGCTTTTATTGAGAAGGGKCAGTAAACCTCAGGAAATCCACTGTGCCCTTTTTGCCCTATTTCTCTGTGAAGGYGAACTTAGAAACCTCCTGAACTCTMATCAGRGTCCCCCCTTTCCCCCAAATGACAGCTGATACACAGCAGCTCACTGTGGGGCAGTTCTTTCGTTTTCTGTCAGACCTAAAACAARTTCAAACTTACAAAGCGTCGGCTGTGGCACAGGATTTCCTTTTCAGTTACTATAAATAGTGTCTGATGCTGCAAGTCCCACGGGCATCCTGTAGATTTTCCTAAGGATGTCATTCTTAAATGACCACACTGCAGCCGGTACTTAGTGTGGTCCCTTGGGATGGTGAAAGTTTAAATATAACTGTAACTTAATGAATGTCTGTGGAATACTAAATTGTGCCTTCTCTATCCCCTACATGGCTCTAGGCTTCTTCCAAATGCCCACATTTCAAAACAGTTGCTCCATTGGGAAAGGGCTCTTAYGACCTTTTTTCTTTCTTTAGATTTTTACAAAGGTCAGGAGAAACTTGATGAAAATTTTATGTGGTTTAAAAAGCTGAGCTTATTAAACTTTAATAAGAAGGTGGCGACAGCTACAGCTTATTTTTAAAGAGCTTTGAGAGCTTTCACAATGACTGTACTGTTAATGATGAAATAACTTGGTTTAGGCTATGATCTTGTTTTTAAGTTATGTCAAGGCACACATTTTTCTGTTTTTTAAATCAAAGCCATGAAAAACATGCTGTGTTTTGTAGATAACACAAGTAGATATTAGTATTTCACATAGTTGCTCTTGTGTGCTTCCRGTGGAGGTGTGAAACTCTTGAATGTGGAAGTGCTCTTTTCAAACCAGACAGTTCTGGCTTTTAAAGGCAAGCATATGCTGTGTGCCTGTGCCCTAACTTAGCAAAATAGCAAATCCTGAGCATTTCAAGTGTTAGCGTGAAACGATATTAGTTAAAATTAGAAAGTGGAAGAGATTGACYTCTTAAATGGAAGAGATGAAAGTTATTATTTAGCAAATTTGTCTGCATGAAAAAAACTTCAATATGTTGGAGCAGTTCTGCTGAAATATTATGCTTTCAATAGGAAAATAATCTTTCTTTAAAATTTCTTGCAGTGCATACGCAATCACATGCAGTAGAACAAAATATAAATACTACCCTAATTTACTGGTCAACACTGGTAGTGTTGACCATTTAAGTTAAATGCCRTTTCAGCCTCATTCCTCTCTTAGTAATCACACTTTTGGTTATGCAATGATTATCTACTCCAGCAGTGTGCCCAGTGTGTTCTGTGTCATTAAGTACTCAGACCAATATGCTTGTTCCAGGGCATGTAATTTAGATCTGCTTAAATTGACCAATTTCTCGCATATTGAAGTTAGAGTGAGATTTCTGACTTTAGAAACCATATAATTTCCCATCCCAGCTCTGCTTCTGATGCTGCACTTCCTACACAGATTATACTTCAGTAGCTGGGACTGTGTATCTGATTTTTTTCACATCCTTGCTCTAAAAAATATAAAACAAGAGCTGCAGTTCTGTGMAAACCACAAGGAAGAAAAGTGCTTATGTAATTCTAGGTTAAGTGGTACAGTCAGTTGAGGTACAGACTTCTGAGGTCATTGTGTCTCTTAAATAAATGCAACCTTTATTTTAGTTTGTATGCAGGGAAATGTGTGGTACGGGGGGTACACCTTATAAAGGTTTTGAGTTTCAATTTTGTAGAAGATGGGCACAAAACCCCACGCATTTATTGCAGGCTGCAGGGGAGTTTTTGTGAGGTGCATTCTCATAAGCAGCCCATCCCTTTTAAAGGCAGAGTACTTAGTACCGGATGGAGGTGAAAGAGGAGTTACATGATCTTCTGGTTTTTAAGTCAGTTGTAAACCAAATCTAATGTCTCATGTCCATGCAGGAAGATGACAGGATCTTTGTTTCATTCAGTGCCCATCTTTGGGACCCTAGTAGAAAAACAGTGACAGCCATTCTTTTTTATCTGGAAACTGGGCATTTCGGTAGGAATCAGCACTTGAGTGTCAGGAAWGGCTCCTTCCTTCTGACAGTGGTGGTCATAAAGCAGCATAAACAGTAAAAAAATAGTTTGGCCTCTGCATTCAGATTGAGGTTATCTTCAAACCAGTATTAATTTCAGCTTTATTTAAGTCTGTGTTAGCTTATTTAGATTTTGTGACCCATCATTTTTTTCTTTTATGAGATCCTGGTGGTTTTGGGTTATAGCAAAAGAGAAACTAGGTTACACTGGCTGATCTCTTGCATCTCAGAATAAGATCAGCCTRCTCAGTGGGGAAATATAAAAATAATTCAAGTTTAAGAGAACAAGCAGTATATTAYAGCACACTGAATAAAAGAACCAAAATGAACAGAATATAATGGAAATCATTGGGAGGGGACATTGCTCCAGCTTTTAYTCTGCACCTGGGTTTGTTTAGTTTCACACATTAATGTTGAGTAATTTCTGTGGACTTCTGTGCAGTCCATGAGTTTTATGCCCATGCTTATGGAGAGTATTTGAGGATTCARCTGTTGGCTGTTTTTCCTTCTCAACAAATCTCTGTGCTTTGCTGTGTTTGCATTTTGTCTGGTGTGTTGGCCTGCTGCCATAGTGTGTATTGCAATGGTATTATTGAATCCAAATAAGTCATTATAAAGGACACTAATGAAGCTTGTTTATCAGGGTTAATTTGTGTTCTCTTCTTTGTCACTTTATTAGCGTCGTCTTGGAGATGCTGCCAAGAAAGCCATTGGTAAATTGACAACCAGGACAGTAAAGAAGGGTGATAAGGTATAATAATAAGATTTTGACATGATAAACTTAAGCACCATGTTTGTTTTTTTTTTTCTGGGGAGACATTCTGAGCTTTTTCTTTCTGTTTCTGATCTATTACTTTGCCTTCCTTKTTGGAGGCTTACTTTGTCCTGTGGCACAATATTTTGTATAACTGTTAGTATTGATGTGTGCTCGAAGTCTGTATATTTCAAAGAAGTTTTCCTTGCTTAAATACTATTTGCACTCCATCTGGCAACTGTGATTGGGGTGGTTTTGTATGCTGGCTGGCTGGGAGGGTGTCCTGGCATGAGTACATAGGGCTGGCATTGTTTATGTGGAATTCTGTAAGTTTAGAACCTTTCCATATACAAGTTCTGTAAAGGAAAAATAAATTTAAAAGAGAGGTAATTGAGGATAATCTCTCATGTAAAATATGACTATTCAGTAAGTTAAGGGGGAGTATAAGGAGGTATTTCATTAAAGACAGCAAATGTTACTCCAAGAATATTTCTTKCTAGTATACAAACTAAAATATATGGTGTGTTAAGTCATAAGGTTTTTCCATTTTTATGAGCACTATTGCTTTATCTTTGATTCTGAAAGGAAAAAATAGTCATTTAATCTTGCTTAATTTTGGCTTTAATTTTCAAAAGGCAGGGGAATTCTGGCTATGATTTGATTTTTAAAAGATTATTTCTTTGAGCCTTTTTATTGTGATTCCTTTTTATCTTTCATATAAATGCTATCAGCAGTGGAAGATTAGGAAACGATAGGAACATTTGCTTCTAGAGAGAAGGCAGAGAAAATGTCTTTCTGTTCTTCCTCCCTCCCTATGTAGTTTTATTTCAAAACAGCTCACTGCACTAAATCTTTCCTGGAATGGGAGAACATACAGATTAGAGGAACTTTTCTGTATTAAAAAACGCTGTTGTCTTGACAGCATAAATTCAAAACTGGCAAGTGCTATGTAGGTTGCAGTACAGGCAGCATGCGGTGAACATGCGGGTGAACAGAATGGGAAAAACCTTTCCTTCCTCAGAGCAGCCATCAGGATTTGCTGTGTGCAGCCCCAGCTGGTGCTGACCAGGASTGGCTGTGGCCTTGCTCTGCTCCCTGTCTTGGTTTGCATCTAAAAGAAAAATCAAGTTGAACTAAGAGAAAGCAYAGCCTGTTTTGTGTCACAGGCCCAGACATTTAAAATATATATTGTTGATGCCATATCTATATCGAAATGAAGTCCCCCCCTTTTTTATTTGAAATTTTAAATTCTCATATTTAAAAATATAATTTAAAAAAATCATAATTTCTGGAAAACAGAAAAGAGGAGCCAGTCAATTAGTGATTCTCATATTCTTGTTGGGATATGAACAATGATAATTCTGCAAGTAAGCAGCYGACACAAATATGGGACTACTGTGCAGTAAGTGAAATGTGCTACTTCTGGCTGTGAAGAAGAGCCCTAGAATTCTTATTCTGCCAAAACAAACAAAAAAAACCTCTGAATAAAATGGAAATGTTAGCTCCAAGCTGGAAATGAAAAAAAGGAACTCTATTTTATAATTATTTCACTGAATATTAGAATTATCTTGGGCCTTAGCTTATGTTTCAAATGATGATTTACCAGCTCCAAAAAAGGGGAGTTTTGTAGGTGTGAGATGTTTTTCTTACTTAAGTCATGTCAGAATATAATAATGCAGTCATTGGTTTTATAGCTTAGTAACTGCCACTCGGCACAATGCAGTTCATGYACTCGTCACAACTACTTTGACATTTATCATAGACTCAACTCTTGACTTGAATTCTCATTCTATTCATTTTAGGAGACAGACCCAGACTTTGATCATTGTGCTGTCTGCATTGAGAGTTACAAGCAGAACGATGTTGTTCGCATTTTGCCATGCAAGTAAGATAATAAAGTTGCTTTGTTTGGAAACTGTTCTCTTTTGGTGTTCTTTTACTTCATTTCATGTTATAGGTGCATTGTAATWCACAAATGCATTTGTTGGATGTTTCCAGTCCTAATAACAGCCACTTTATTTTAAGAYTGTGGTGCCAGAAGGTGTGAAGGTGGGTGCTGGCACTGTTAGGACAGTGGAGATTAAACAAAATTTTATTAAAGATATTGGCAGAGAAGCTGTTGAGATTGCARTGAGGTGGAGGGGTGCAGGTTTAAGGACCAAGTGATGGGCAGGCTCAAAAAATTTCAGTATAGTGACCCAAGCACAGCTGCAGCATTCTGCACAGTAGATGTGCAACTRGCTGCTGGTTTCTGAAACAGTAGGAAATGGAAATGCAGTCTTTGCAACCTTCATACCTCCTGACATTAGTCAGCCTCTGTGCTGTCATCTCTCTTTAGTCTCTCCAGTGCAGTGTGATTTTGGCTTGTGTCTGAAGATTTGTACTTGCTGGTGATTCTGCATTAGTGCTTAAAATGTAACAGCTTCCTCCACTTTTTATGCCAGTGTGTTGACATTTACAGRTTTTCACTTTGTTTCAGTTCCAATTCCATTCTTGAGTTGTTTTRAGACATTTCTCTTCAAGAGATGCTTTTAAATACTTTTTCACCTGGTGGTTGATTTTGTTGAATCATGCACTTTGGTAGCCTTAACCATTACCAAGGACATCTTTCCCTTGTGTTCTGAAGTGCAAAGCTTCCTCCTCTAGGCACAAAACCACATGTAAGTCAGGTTGTATATATGCAGCAAGATCCAGTAACTTGGCCTGTGCTTGGTACATTAATGGTTCTGCATGATRCTCTAGAAGTAACAAAGTCATGTGKTGGAGTCAATCTTCAGTCWGGCAGCAGCAGCAGCACATAAGAACTCATTATTGGTCTTCTAAATCCTCCTGCAGGCTGTTCTGAATAGCTGGAACATCTTCTAATGTGTAGTATATTTCCATCATCATAACAGGAAAWCTATTGCTTTATATCTTACTGATCAAAATATGTGTGCATTATATTTCTGAAGCCAAAAATCTAATTCAATTTACTGTTCTTTGTGTCCCTTACCTCTTGGACACTTGCAAACAATGACCTGTTAGATTCTCAGCGTTGTTTAGATCAAATAACCTACCACTGATTATTTAGAAACTCTCATTAAAATATTTAGGAATAGAAGAGCTTGGTCTTAGTTTGTAAAGGTTTGGGAGCTTTTGGTCGTGTGGATGAGTGTTCATTTCTTTTTTACAATTCGGTCATTTTTAATCGAAGTTGATGTCCTCTTGCCCTAAAAAATGTACTCCCAAGTGTTAAGTAAAGATCTCAAAGTTACATCATTTATTGTCATCTGAAGTAAAACTTGTATGGTTGAATTAAGCCCTGCTCTTTTCATATATTATGCAGAAGGTTATTCATAAATTAGAGGAGGAATTTCTGGAAACTGCAAAGTTTGAACAACTGMGATGATTGTTTGGTAAACTGTCTCTCTTAGGAAAGGTTCTCTTGAATTCAGGGTGGTACTGTGAGGCTCAAGGACGTGAAATGGAAGTTCACAAGTCCTGCTCCTTTATGCCTTTTTCTTGACACTGAACACTGGGCAGGAGGTGGTCCTTGCCAGTGAAGAGAGAATGAGTCCTCCCTGGTAGGAAAACAACTCTTCCCGCTGACCATAAGGTAGAGCTGGGATTAAGAGCCACCTTACTTAAACAACTGCCCCTGTCCAAGCAGTGGGTATGTTACTGGTATCCACAGATAAAATATACACCCTTTAAACAAGATGATCATTGATCTTTTTCTTTTAATTAAAAAAAAAAAAAAAAGAGAGAAAGAGAAGTCCTTTTCCTTCAGCCACCTTTGGTGTCCTGCTGACAGGAATTCTGGGCTCTCAGGRATGGTTACAGCTGTTCAGGGAGCTGCATGCAGGTGCACCTGGCTGCCACCTCAGCACAGCCTGCCCCACTGCAGTCTCCATGTAAAGGAGAGATCAAGGCTCTTGTGTAGATCATTTTCTGTTCTGTTCTCCTACATTTCACCAGAATGTAAGGTCAGTGGAGGCTCAGATTACATTCCTGCCAAAGGCTGTATGACAACTTTTATGTTCGCTTTCTATTTCTTTTTTACATTTCACTTTTCATTTGCTGCAGCTCAGTTTTTGAGTGCAAAACCACGTGTGCTAGACAAGCAGTGAGATGGATGCTTTCTACAATACATTTTTATAATTGTAGATGAAAAGCCAACTAGTACCTGCAGAGATGGGCCCAATAAATTTCAGATTCCATGTACGATTTTTCAGTCTTCAGTACATGAGATGCTTCTCTCCAAATATTGTTTCGAAGGTTTAACTCCTTTCTACTTCCTCATACTTCAACCTGCCATTTTAGTGCAGCATGCAATGTTAGTTTAAACATAAAAAACCCCCAGACAGCACAYAGATAATAAAACAAAGCCTGCAAGAGAGTTTCTAAGCCAGATGAGAAAATAAATTGTAAGAACACCATAGAGAAAATAACTCAACCAAGAGGAAGCAAATGAAAGGCTGGAAGTTCTTCTTACTGTGCCTGTTGGGGAAGCTGTAATCATTAGACAGTAAGAATCACTGACATGTGACATCCTTGCTGCTCTCATCAATTTAAAAGTAGCCTTTCCCTTTAGCGCCATAATTGTTCTCTGCAGTTAAGTATGGTCTGTCACTCTGTGCCTCAGTGCAGGAATCTCATCCGGGCAGACAAACAGCAGGCAAAATCTACCAGCAGCTGAGCAAGTTGCACATAAAATTCCATAGCAAAACAGCACATTTGTGRTGTAACATTTTCTAGCATGTGGGAAATTGGGGCCAATTTAAAAATAAACTAAGGTGAAAATGGTAGAAACTCAGCTGCACTGTTTGCAATAGTTAATTTTGTGCTTCAGAGAGAGAAATATGTTGAGTAYCAGCAGCCTATGGACATACCTGTAGGTTTAGTGCACAGAGGGACAAGCAGCCAACTGTTTTAGTCTTCCAGGCTTGAGGAATGTGTCTTTTGTGAATGTCATTATGTAAGTGAAAAATAAGTAGAGGAAGCAAATGTCAGAGGGATCCTAGCAAAAGACAAACGTCATGGACAGTTTTCTTTATTCAGATGTTTTTATTCTACCATCATCACATTGTTGCATCTAGGGGTTGAAGAGGCACTAGGTGAAAAATGATCAGCAGTGGGTAGTGTGAAGGATTCGTGAGAGATAAGAGAAGGGGAGAGCAAAGTGACAGGTTAGAGAAAAGCAGAAAATGACATTGGAAAGGACAGAAGGATGGCCTGGGAAGGAAGGAATTAACAAGGTRGGAAAAGAATTAAAGGAGTAGTGAATACTTAAAAATAAATGGCTCTTGGGCCAAAGTCTTAATTCCTGTCCTAGGCAAAAAGGAGGAAAGTGACAGAAGTGGATAAAGCAGGTTTTCAGACTTTGATTGGTTTGAGTCTGTGCTACTGCACATAGCTGCTTTCTTCTTTTTAAGACCAAATTAACACAATCTTGATGGCATCCTTTCTGCTTCCTGCAGTGCYTTGGATGCCAGGGCCAGGGGAGCAGCTGCCTCCAGCAGTAGCCAAAAATGCTACTTTGCTGCAGTAAAGGTCCCTTTGGYGGGATGCTGCACTGAGAGCAGGGAAGGGTAGGGAAACAGCACCTGCAAATCATTCAAGCCCTTCTCTTTCTGTGATGTGCGAATTTTTAGGCCTTACACCACCACAAGAGATTCCTAACTCACTTTTTCCCTTGAGAAATGCAGCAAAGTTGCCACGTTGTACAAGAGTCGGCATTATGGTGTTTATTACCAGCTGGAGGGCARCTGGGTTGGGTGTGCTGACAGAGTGGAAAAATACCTGCAGGTCACCTGCCTGGAGTTGTGCCCGCATGGGAGACTCCATCGGTGCTGCCAGCCTGGCTGCCAGCCCTGCTTCTGCAGCCTGAGCCTGGGGAAGCAGCAGAGGCTTTGTCACATCTGATTCCCCAGCTTGGGACTCCTGAGGGAGCATCATCAGCTGTCGTGACCAAGAGCAGCTCCCTAGGAGCTCCTCATATTTATGGTCTTGGAGTATCAGTGACAGAAATAGGAAGATGGAGAAGGTTAAGGAGAACAGATGTTGCAAGGGCTTGCCTTGTCAGACTGAAGTTTTAAAATAATTCCTGCTTRCTGTCTTCATTGCTGTATAACTGCTTTTAAACTCTTGCAAACAGAGAAATCCAGACAGAGCCTGAACCACAGTGATGTTATCMGCAAACTTTTTAAGAGGTAGAGAAACTGTGTAAGTAGTAGGCAGAGCCATGCTTTCTAAATCAATAACCTTTGGAGAGCTGCACTTCTTTGAAACACATTAATAAATGTCCTTGAAGGTTTAGGAACTAAAAGCAAAGAATTGGGGGGTCACAAAACCAATTGGGCTCTGTATATAAATATATTGAAGCGCTAATGACTTTTTAAAATAACTCATAATATTTASTGGATGCATGTGGCATCTGTATGARTTGCCTGCTTCACTTGATCGGAGTGCTTCTACAGCACTGCTTAGCCAATAATGATATAATAAAGCTGTTTTCATACTTATGTGGAGTCTTGATGTCTGCTCTTGCCCAAAATATTAGATTTTCAGGTTTGTTCTGCTTTAAAAAATAGACTCCAGAGACTTAAAAGAAAATATAATAAAATTTTCCATGTTTGCCTAACATGGAAAAATGGCATCTCTGTATGTTTCAGAATATTTCAAACCATTTTGTATCACCCAGAGTTTCAAACATTGTTTCCTGTAGTTTTGTGAGTAATAAAGGGAATGCAGTAAGAGATAATAATAATAGAAGCRAGTCTATTTTGGGTGATGGTTTGAACAGAAGGCACTGTACATATCCTGTTTTTTGTGATTTCCATCTTGCTAGAGAACACAGGCCAGCCAAGTGACTAACAGATCCTTCAAGTTTCTATTCCTGCATTATCTGGGATAGAGATAAGCACAATTCTTTTGCCCTCTGTCAGTCTCCTGTTGACTATTTTACACCCTGATTCTGCATATTTCATTAGTACAGGTAGGATGTACAGCTGCAGCTTCCTAGAATGTCATTATGTTGATATTCTATAGTCCCTCCATCATCCTGAGTAGATGTAGAACATAATTATATACTATCTTTTGCTATATTCAATAGTTTCAGGAGGCCTTTCAGGTTGCTTTCCAGAGATTTAAAACAGAATTGTCTGGTAGCATGCCTCATTTGGTCTCTGATTTTAAAATCCCAAGGGATGGGGAGTAAAGAACTCCCAGATGCCATGATGAGCTTTCTGARGCACAGAGCACAAGTGTAACCTGAGCAAAGAGGGGACAGAGAGTGTCTCAGCTTTGTGCTGCCTTGGGGGCACGCATGACCACCTCTTACAGACCCTGCTGATGCCACAAATAGATGGCAAGAACTGCTTGTTCTGCCCCTGCACCTCTCCCTGCTGGCTCCAGAGCACAGCTCTTCGCTGACTAAGCAGCCCTTGTAATTGCTRATCTTTGTCATGATCACCAGTCTGTAGTGTTCAGGTGTGCCTGCTTTTACTGGCTTCTTGCTCTGCAGTCAGCACCACTGGAAATGGAAGCTCTGGGCTCTTATCGTAGGAATTACCATAGGCAGTTCTCAGACTGGGTTATTATGAGTATTTGCTAAAGCTGTTGTGGGTAAAAAGTCTTGTGATACCGATTTCGGCCATGAATATGCTCTGAAAAGTTYTTTGCCTTTGCAAAAGCTAAGAGGGCATTTCCTTCTCTTCCTTTAATTTACATACCTTGTTTTGGTCTCTGCATATTCCTWCCTTGTTACACTGGTTTATATCAATCCCAACACTGTTACATTTATGTTCATGTATATGACTAAGATTTTGGATGCAATGCAGGAGGCAATTCAGACTGTTGCCTATTGCAGAGTTCCCTGCTGTGCAAGTAGGAGTCCAATTTGCCTTTCCATCTCTAAAAGCCCAATTTGCCTCTCCTTTAATTTTTGTGACAATCATATGATGATGGATGTGTTTTCATTCTTGGTATCAAGAAGTACTAATGTCAGGGAAAGCCTTCTTTTTACTTTGATGTGATAATTATAAAAACCTTTTCAAAGTCAAACWGGAGTTTGTTGGGTTGGTTCCACCAACTTGTGAACAAAATTGACAGCTGCTGATGGATCTGGGCTCTTCCTACCAGAACCTTGGTTCAAGTTCTGCAGTAAAACTCTGACAAGAMTTTAGACAGGATTACAGTGGGAATGGTATTATCTTCATTCTTCTGCCTTATATTTACTACTCCAATCTACAATAAAAGGGGGAAAAAATTTCAAATCTTCAAGAGTTTCTTTCTAGTTGAACTATTARTTCAAACAGAGAATATTTATTAGTTCAGCAAGCAGTATTTATTTTTTTATTACTGTGATTAGCACAGAATACTGGCAGTTCTAAGGTTTGCATGTATTTTAAAATTTAAAAAGCAACTATCCCAAAGTTCATTAAAGTAGCTCTCATTGTATAAAATACTTATTTGCAAACTATGTATATGCCTTCTCTGTTCCTCTAGGCACGTGTTCCACAAAGTCTGTGTGGATCCATGGCTCAGTGAGCACTGTACGTGTCCAATGTGTAAACTGAACATTTTGAAGGCACTGGGAATTGTGGTAAGTTGCTCTTTTGTCAACTCTTCGTCCCATGTCTGAGACCCAGAACAGGAAAAAAAATTGTCGGGGAGAGAGGTGGAATAAAATACTTGGGTGCTTTTAGTAATTTCTTTGCTGCTGGTTTGTCATTGTTCCTTCTTTCCCTGTTTGGTCATTGAGAGTATATTGTTATAGTTGCATTTATGACAATTATCTACTGGAAGTACGATAGATTCTCTGTAAACTTTGCATTCTCAAGTCCTTTCTCAAGTCCAGGTATTAAATTTATTCTGTGAATCTCTTGTTCTTGTGGTTTCCTGTTGGCAGTCTTAAATTTGCACATTAAAAGCCCCACCCTAGCTGAGTCCAGTGAGTTTTCCTCAAGCAACTCAAGTCTTACGGGTTCCCTGAGGACCTCTTTGGTTGACCAGTTCACAAAGGCATAGCACTGAAACCTCAAAGATTTTTTTAAATCTTTCYTGTATGAGGAAAAAATTATAAAGTGGGAGCAATTCTCTTTTCAGAGTAAGAGAAGAACATATGGAGAGACTGTCTAAAGTGGCTTTTGTTTCAAGACAGTGACAATAATCAGGCCTCCCTTTTTAGCTGTGTCAGTTGYGAATTTGCACATTTGCTAAGAAATAATAGCAGATATATTGTGGATGACCCGGTTTTGCAGTTAATAACATACCTGGGTTTTTAGAAGAGTGGAATTTAGAGTTGTCATCATGGTAAACCATACAGGCATAGGCTRTGATATGAGGGTACTTGAGTCCCTTGAATCTTAATCCTTTTTTCTGCTTGCTTCTCCTCTTTAAGAGGCAGCTTCATATCAAAGTTGTTCATTCATATGTTTCTCTCCTGTGTGACCTCAGCACAGCTGTAGCCGCTGAAAACCATGTGTATGTGTGGTTTTATTTAATGTACACCTTTGGTGCACACAGAACATTCCCCAGATGACAGGGATGTGTTTGTTGTGCAGCCCAACGTGCCGTGCACAGATAATGTAGCCTTTGACATGGAGAGGCTGACGCGGGGACAGCCGGTGAGCAGGCGCTCGGCGCTCGGCGACTTCGGCACCGACAGCTCCCTGAGCCTGGAGCCCCTGCGCACCTCGGGCATGTCCCAGCTGCCACAGGACGGGGAGCTGACACCAAGGGCAGGAGAGATCAACATTGCAGTCACAAGTGAGTGTCCTTTGGCTCCCGGTACCATCGTACGGCTTCCGCGGTGTGCGTGTCCCTCTGTGCTGCAGGGCCCTGSTGATGGATGTCCCTGCAGGCACAAAGGTGACCTCAGTGTCTCTGTGAGAGGCATATGCTCCTTATTGGAACCAATAACTCTGGGTATGACAGTGCCAGCACTTCCATTATTAATGGTAAATCCATTTAGATCTGCATGCAAAGAACCCTGGATGAAYGAAAATGGCACCAAAATAACCTTCCTGAATTCGGTAACCAGCACAAGAAGCTGGATTGCCCAAATGGTTATTTATCCCTTCAGAATAGTTTACRTGCAATAATTTTTACAAATATAAATACTGTAGCTGATGGCTATTTCTGCAGACATTTTTTCCCCTGAGAACATTGCTACTGGAATTCTGACGTCACTTAGCAGGTGCTTTTTCTTACAAAATTTGTGAATTAAAGAAGCATTTGMTGTACCAACATTTGAGTATTGTCTAAGTGTTTTATAACATCAGAAAACTGTTCCTGCACTGCTTGAAAGCTCTTATCCATAAGAGCAGCGTGGAAAATTTCCACTTACTGGAATTTACCTAGGGTTTTTAATATATAATAGCACGATAATGAATACAGTATTTGTGGAATTGCATCAGTTTTCCATATGCTGTACAGTCTCAACTTGATGCATGAATGGTTGTTTTCCTGGCTGAATTGCAAAATTAGAATCTATGTAGAACAACAGTCTAATTTTCTCCTTGTATTTTGATTGTGTGCATCTGTGATCTAGATTATGAACTTAGTGTCACTGGTTGCCACTGACATATGCATACAAGGCAGTGAAACCARTGCAGTTCATTAGAGTATTTCTTTAGATGCTGTAGCAAAGTAAATGTCTCATTAAAAACAAAACACCCTTCACCTTATGAAAAACAGAGTCCATATCTAGAAATGTCCTGATCTGAGGTGGTAAAATCCACATACATAATCTGGTTCCTCCACAAAGCCAGTAAGTCACTTTGCCATCCAGTGTTCACCCTCTGGTTCACCTTGCATTCAGTTTTGTTGAACAAGAACAGATCTGTTGCTTCCTTGTCAWGGGCAGGAAGACTGTAGTTTTCACTTTTCAGAAGGTGTTTTTACTGTCTGCTCCCAGCTGTAGTGCTGCTCATGCACAGATGGGATGCCAGGGTAAAACAAGAAATAACCACCAACAGTTCATGCTGACAACGTTTACGAAGTAAAGCTTTAAAAAGGGCTCTTGAAATGTTTGTRTTTTATGGATGACACGTGCATTCTTTCATGCATGAGAGTTAAACCAAAAGCCATATTCAACAACAGTATTTGTATTCTGAACTGTTACTGTATGTCCAATTGATCCTGGGGAGAATTTTGAATAGTGAACATTCTATAATAGGCTTCTTTATACTACTTTTTATTTTTTAATATGTCTGTCTGTCATATTSTTGAAATTATTTTTCTACGGGTATATCTGTATATTAAGTGGGGAAACACTAGTTTTGTTTTACTGTTGAGCAATCTATGCTGATTTTGTTGGGTTTTAAGTAACACTATAACACAAATTCAGGAGGGAGGGGGCAAAGACACAGTTAAAGTGTGACAGTACTTTGAGTGTGCTTATGTGAAAGAACTGCATCTCACCAAACCTAACCCAACCTGACAGTTGTCTTTCTGACTTTGGGTAGACAGAGTTTTCATTACGTTTTCCCTTGATCCTGCATTTCACTTGACATTTAAGTGACTAACCCTTGGGCTCAACCAGGAGATACTGTTGTGCCATGCTTTTTTTTCCGCACCTCTCTCCACTTCTTCTTTGCTAGCCTTCTCCCGTCAGTAACTCTGTGGCTTAACCTCCTTCTGCTTCACCTCCYGGGGCCAGTCATGGCTTAGAAGCCTCTTGCCTTCCGCCAGTGGTGTTTGAGGGAAATATTGGCATCGCTTTCTCCCACGAGTGATTTCCTCCCTTTCCTTTGTCAACAGAAGAATGGTTTATTATTGCCAGTTTTGGCCTCCTCAGTGCCCTTACACTCTGCTACATGATCATCAAAGCCACAGCTAGCTTGAATGCTAATGAGTAAGTAAACATTCAGATGTTTCTGTGCGTTTCTGGTGGGTGTGTGTCATGGACAACTTTGGGAATAAATACCAAGAGAAGGGGGAATATGTAGTTTTCAAGAAATCAAATTAATTTACTTCTTTTGTCAAATGCGAGTGTTTCTGTTAAGCAGGTTTCAGGGTAACATCTAAAGTCCCTCTTAATTTATATTTACCTGGATTGTCTGAGGAAATATCTTTGCTAAGTGGAGACATGAAAAGGGGAAAACAGAGAATATTTATGTTCAATTTTTGATCAATGGTCTRGGTAAACATTAGAATTCTGCCATTAAATTCCCATGTTCAAAATTTGCTTGGCAGAGCCAAAATTACTACCAGCAGCTAGCTTTTACAGTTTTCACCCCAATTTTACAGTCAAATTTCATATTAAAATAAAATAGTTGGTACACTTTCAGCTAAGGGRAAAAAAAAGGTGTTTACTGTGAAAGCTACCTTTCTTATTTTAGGAKAGGGGGAGAGAAGAAAGCAATGAATGCAATTATGTTTCTTCTCTCTTAAATGAAGGGATGCTTGCTTCCATGCATAGAAAGCCTCAGCCTTCCTTCAGACAGGCTAGACAAGAAATTACCCTAGCAGATAACTTTCAGTCTTTTTTTATAGTTCTGTGTGTGGGCAAGTGTAAATTTATTCTGCAGATCTATTAACTAGGTACATCTAGCTATTTTCATGTAGGTGTACAGAATATCTGGGCTCAGGATATATGTTTAATYATAATTTAATTATTTATTTGGGAAGCAAACTGTCAACATCTTTCTTTGTCTCTAAACATCTTGACACAGCTGAGTTTCCATTAATGTGCTGATCTCTCTACCAGAAGTGGGGTGAGATTCAAAGGAATGCAGCCTGGGGGGGAAATGTAGCCTTTATAAATATTTCTTTGGATTTTTTTTTCTTGAGATAAGAGAAAGAAGGGGGTTGGATTTTTAAAACTTTTATTGCAGTTTGGGAAGTATTAGGTATCCTTCTCAATAAGATGGAAACATATCTAATAGTCTCCAGTATAGAATTTTTGACAATCTCAAGCTAATCGTCTTCAGGAGGGTCCATAATAYTGGTCATCCATAATTTTGATTACTACTAATTTGCAAATCTTTTTCCTCTTTTCATATGCTGATTCCAAAAGGGCTTCATGAAGAAAACTTTTAGAACTTCAAATAGCCCTGTCAAATCTACTCTTTTTTTTCCCATTTGTCAAAATCTTGAAGTTGCAGCCCTAAATCAGCAATTTGGCAGCATAGCTAGAGCTGAACATAGTTAATTTGCCAAAAACAGTAGTTTGGGAAAGCATGGAGCAGGGTGAGCTGCAGAACGGGAATGTCTGCATTGCTGGGCACTGGCACATCTTTGGCAAGGAGGAGGAGCTGTGTAGTCTCATCCAGATGTGGGCACTGATAGCAGCTGCATTTTTGCCTTGCATTGCAACTCTTCTTTTTGTTGCTCACTGGGATCTGGGACTGTTTTTACTGCAAGGACAAGCTGCTGCACATTGGCAGGGACTTTGGGCCTCCAGCAAACTGTTTTTACAGTGATGTTCCCTCAGTATGAACAATGGGTGTGCTGATACAAGGAGAGCTCCTTTTCTGAGCAATAGGAATTGAAATGCGAGCATGTCAAGTGTGTACTTGAGACAGACTTGAGAAAACTCACAGCTACAGAAACCAGAGCTTCAAAAATCCCTTATTTGGGTAACTGAGGTTCCTGGTTGTAGCCTTTAACCTCAGCTGCTCTTCATCTGAATCCTCTGAGATCTGAGCAGCCTCCACAAGTGCTGCTGGGTTCAACTACTCATTTTAGACAGTTTAAAATGACARTAATGCTTAGATTTATTGTTTCATTGACAGCTTCCCAGTGCCAGACAAAGAGTTTCCTGTGCTGAATATCATGCCAGATATATGGCAATTCCTTCTCAGTGCTTTTTCTATTAAACAGCATACCTGCTTTTTATGCTGCTCCCCAAATAAAAAGCAATGCTGGCGTACCCTGCCTTTCTTATGGTAGTGTTTCAGGAGGAATCTGAAGGGTTTTTCTTGTTAAAAAACAACAGCAGTAAGAATGAGGGCATGTAATATGCTGATGCAGGTAAAAGACACCAAATATTCTGCTTCAAAACTCA